AAGCTATATTTTATAATACTGACACATTTTATCAGATTATTGAACCTGAAACAACTTATTTTGCACGCATCAATCGACTCTTAACGCGTTAAGACGTGTGCATCTTTTTTATTAATTTATAGCAGCGTTATCTTAGGCTATTTATGTAGGTACTTATTTTTTAGGTGTCAAGATATTATGTTCGTTCCAAAGAAACAATGGATGGTCGATAATCAATTAACTTATCATGTTAAGCAATCAAAGATATCAACTTATTGGAATTTTAGCACCACCTTGATAAGTTTGATCACTTTTTTCACGCTTGTCTGTCACAGTTGACAGATGTTCAATTATGTAAAAACCACGTCATTAATGGACGAAAATAAATACGTTTTTGTGTTATTGAAGCAATGCTCGTACTTTACTTTTTCAGTTTGCATACTTTTTAGCGCTGTAACACTTGAATGTTTGATTTATTAAACGATATCGTCTGGTAATCGTTTGTTTAATTATTTTGTTCAGTCTGAGGTCACAACGCTAATTAACTGGCGTGGAAACATTCGAGGAATGCACGTGAGATCCGCAAGACCAACGGCCTCTTGACTGGTTTAATTATTCGCACGAAACCATTCAAACTGAGCCATTATTATGATGAAGAGGATCACTTTATTCGTTACAAAAGCAAAGTAAATATCTTAAAATTATTTCAACAATGCGCTGTTAGACTCTGACCAAATCGTTTGCAAAAGTGAAAGCGGCTTGTAAAATTTATAGCAGTTGAATAGTACTAGCTTAATTGCAATAAATCACTATCTTATCGATATTTGGAATTGTTAATAGTTTTCATATCACGGGGACGGTGCGTCGAGTCGTTATTATCACAGGTTATTATCAGTCAACAAACTTTTATTGACGTCTGATTAGGCTCTGAGGACCATAAGTTGCATACCTATTCTTTTATTTTCTAACTAAGGTATCCACATTAAGTATCGAACATTTTTTCAATTTACATAGGATTTAAATTAAAAAGCATGGATAAAACAAAGTGTATGAAACTTTGACTATCTAAAATGTTTAACACATAATAACTACTCAGTGTGCAAGGACCCTAAAACAAACAAGACTTTATTTACTATGTTAAACTACTAGTTATAACGACATGATACTGCGCAGTAATAGACACTTTATCGGGGCCACGAGTTCCTCATTGCTGTGCAAAAAAATCTTTAATTTTTTGTGATACTATCGAGATGAAAAAGAGTCAGACGGTGTGCACGCGTTGATCGGCGCGAGTTTTTTCAAGCCCTCGACGTCCTTGCGAGGCGCGCCAGCGTCACGCACCGTCGACCTACAGCTGTTTGTTTGACAACAAACTACGCGATATGGAACATGTTATCAAGGCATATTCAATGGTAACACTTCACACGACCGCTGTGACGTAACACAGATGAAGCGTCAACCTCTATCATACAGCACCAATGGAAAAATTATGCTGATCGGGTGACTCCATGTTTTGTTATCGTTAACGTGGTTAACGCATACGACGCTTGTATGACGTTCCTATTCGTGAAATTGATTCAGCGGGTGATTTAGTGAAATGATGACGCCATTTCTTCTACGCAATAATCGATGAAACATCAACACGGGCAGTACTGGCACTTAATAATAATTAAGTAAACGGTATGGAAACTGTTTTAATTATGATCAGTTTTCAATTACAAACATTATCCTATGTACTTAGTTTTTATGTGTATGTCCTTTCCTTTGTGTTGTATGTGTGTATATTAATAATAAATAAATGAATTAAATCAATCATTATGACATAAAGCGTGTAATGTCAATAAAACCTGAGATGAGTGAGACCCATAAAATTGGCTGACCCGTTTTGGTCATATAAATTACCAACTTGTAAAATTCGCCCACATTTCTTTATAAACGTCCGCTTTATTTGACAATACAGCGCGGAGATCTCAACCAAGAAGGCATTTTGAGCATCCACTTTCACCAATATAAGCACGCCAATAGATTGCACCGCGAGTTAGAAAATGTACGCGCGGATAATTCTCTCGAATTGTCACTTGCAAATATCTATTTGAAGGCGAAGAAGTCTGGGGGCTACCAAGTTCTAAATAAGATAGATGTTCCAATTTCACTTAAAGTAATCACTATCAGAAACAGTCGCACCAGTAAGTAATGTACCTACCCGAGATAAGTGTGTTACATTATTAAGTGGGTTAGAAATCTACTTTGCTTGCACGTAACATTTAATTAATTGATCTTTGTTCTGGTCTCTGTATAATACGTGTTCATTAGTGTTCATGCAACATTCTACTAACTAAATGTGAACAGTTTTGAACCACTAGTGATTTCAGTGACCAGACGAAGAGAAGATAAGTTACAAATTACAACAGTTCCCTACATTATTTTCCTATCCAAGAAAATAAAATGTTCTCTGAATGAAACTCCTTAGACCTACCTCCGAGTTTGCATCGGATAAATATCCAATTATGAATAATGAAATCCATTAAAATCGGGTCAACAGTTCTCGCGATTAGACCGCTTGTACAGTGAGATAATAAATACTACGACCTGATTTAACAATGGATTTACTACGTGCTATTACGTACTGCATTAATCAGTTGCAGACTTCTGTCGTGTGCACTGGCTTTTTATAGCGAAATGCGGTCTAGGGAGTCAAAAACTAACAAAACAGAATTTGTTGTATATTTTAAACTGTCAAACACCAAGCGGTCACCGGTGACCGCGAGCGCGACCTATTGTTCTTTAATTGTGTCTATAAAACCGGTACTCGACGAGTTAAATGAGGTATCATAATATAAGTTTTTATACTTTATTCATAACTTCATCAAAATTTTGTCATATGTTAAAAGTGATCGATTCAATCCATGAAACTGCCTTACGCCAATGATTCCATGAATGGACAGGAGTTCAAAAACAGTACGTTTAGACAATGGGCCATTGAAAAAACTCGAGGAATCTTTACAAGCAATAAAATAACGGGAGCTGACATAAGTGCTATTTTTAAGTACCTACTATGCGAACTAACAAAACAACAACTGATGCTCTAAGGAATCGAAACAAATTTTAATTTAAATATCACTTCTGTTTAAGTATCTTAGTCATATTAAGTGAATACTTAGTTGAACTATTTTAAGCACAAATGGTAGTGCATGTGAGTCGATCAGAAGCGAATGGAAGGTTCGGGTTTCACGGCCTTCGGTCCTCTACTCGATTACGAACGACGCCAGTGACGTAGGTGCGCTGGCGCCTGTACCAACTTCTTTGCGGCTTCGTGTCATGAATACATGAGGAAGTCTTTAGTGTTGTGAATAAATTCGCGGTTTTACTCAGGGTTATTCAAGGAATGCGGTTTATACTACCGAGTTTCGAGTACAGATGCAATTGTACGTGACCACAATCACAGGTGCCTAACTGCATAAATGCTTATTAATTGACTTATAATAACAAAAAAAAAAAAGTAAGGATCCGCGAAAGGATCGCGAGAAATCTAGTGTAAAAAAAGGAGTAGGTACGTGTCGTTGAACAAGCCAGACGAAAAAGAACGCACGACCGTCGCTTTTTTAGCCAGGCAGTAGATCGGGTGCGTTGCGCGTGAGTCACCGGCGGCATACCGGCGCGCACCATGCACTGTACGTGTCAACCACCTATTTATGTCGCTGGTCGCAGGACGAAGCGCAAATAAACAGCATCAAAGGGACGTTGGATTCCGCTCGGCGACGGTGCGAGCACCAACGAAAAGCAACGAAAACAACCACCATTGTCTACGGATGAGTTATTTTCGCAAATAGATACGGATTCGCCACTTGCTGTATGCAAGTTCTGTCGCTATCCGCAAATGCTAAGTTAAGATTCTTACGGCTTCCAGCATTCAGTTTTGAACTAACTTGCCTTGATGTTTCCATTTCACTCACTCACTGAATGTGAGACAAATTTTACATTGGTTGACTCATGTGATTTTGATCAGAAACATGATTTCATAATTCTGAATATGTAATTAAGTAATTATAATTATTTATCCTGATGTAGGTAGTTTAATTGAAAACTATTTTACTTTTAATTAGTATTATTTATTTTAAATTAGCTCGGTATGACATTTACTTCAAACATTATTTTTTCTGTAACTAGGTAGGTACTTTCAATCTATCAATCTATTTGTAACAATTAACCATAAGCTTAAGGCATGCTATCATTAAATAAAAGCATGTACTTCTATATACCACATAGGTTTCTACTGATGAATACCAGGTAATTACTACTTAGTTAGAATTTGAGATATCTAATTGTTTTTAATTTTTTTACTAACTATTGTGAGGCATACTAAATTAACAAAAAAAAACGTGTTTTTTATTTGTCATCAGATTTCTTTTGAAACCATAAAGTACTTAAATAGAAGAATGACCAAAAAGTTGCAAAAGACTGAATAAACCATAGTTTGTCTAGTCTTACCAAGTATTGAAGAGATCAGGGTAAGAAAAGTTAAGATCCGTTCAAGATGATTTTGTGTATTAATCGGTTAATTTACAAGATTGTATAAAGACAAAGTTATACAAACAAAATGTATTAATTTAATCATATTATTAAACCAAGGGCACTCATTAAAAACATTTACTGAAAATTAAAAATTCAAGAACCACAGACGCTTCCTTTATAAACTCAGGAAAAGCTTACTTAATTAAATGTATGAATGAGAATAACACAAAATGTGTAAACAAATATAAAGTTAAATACTTTAATATTTATAATTAGGTACCTAAATATACTTCTCAAGTAAATATTTAATGTAGTTATAAGAATAACAAAAATAAGATTCAATTTGTACTTTCTAAATCAAGATTGTAATACTGTATCCATGGATTTAGCATACACTTAGAATACACCATCTATGGTCTGATTGGAAAATGTAGGTGTTGCATAGTAGTTCTTGAGAAGCATCTGAGTATGATACAAACTGAAGAGATATAATATTACCTAAATTGCAATTAGTTACTTATGTTTATGTGAGAAAGTGTGAGGAAATAATATAAAAGGAAATGTTCAAAAGAGACTGACCTTTCATCCTCTGGTGGCGGCGCGGGCTGTTGCTCCTCCTTGCCATCGCCAGTATCTCCAGCCTGCAGCGTGTCCGCAGACACATCCGGAGCACCACTATCACATGCATTCACATTCACACTGCTCATCACCGCGCCACTGATGGCATGAGACACCGCACTCACGGGGCTACCGAAGCCCTGACTGTCATGACCCGGCTGCGCCGTGTTCGCTACATACGCGGTAGAACTCACTGGCATCGACACCACCGGCGAATTAGTCCCCGAGACGGTCGCCTCGACGGGCGCTACACTACTCTGCGACATCACCGGCACCACGTTCCCGTAGCTCAGACCCATACTGGTCTGAGATTGCACCACGTTCGGGTGGACTCCGCCGCCCATACCGACCGGCATGCTGGGCTGCATCATCGGAATGTTCTGGTGTGCCATTGAGACTTGCGCCACCGGTTGATTGGACACGTATTGCACGCCGCCCATCTGCGCCTGTCCTCCCACTTGCTGAGGTAACAGGTTTTGCTGCCCCATATGCTGGCCGACAGGCATCTGTTGACCGACGTTCGTTGGCTGCATGAATATAGGATCTGAGGCGGGTATCATACTAGGCTGATTCCCGTCTAGAGTCATCTGCATATTCTGTGGAGCTGCGGTCATCATCATGTTTCCTTGTGGCACATTCCCTTGCTGAGGAGCAATAGTATGCACTGTATTAGGCTGTTGCTGAGCAGTAAGACTCTGAAGATTCGCAGGTAATGTCGAGCCTTGTGGTTGAGAAGGCATCGGTTGAAGATTTGAAGGCAATGTTGCACCTTGCTGTGATGTAACTATAGAAGTGAGCACCTCTTGAGGCAAAGTTTGCCCCTGCTGGGACATCTGTGATTGCTGTGTGTGGTATTGAGGAACTGTATGTTGAGGTTGAACCATTTGCTGCTGTGACGAGGGCATGGTTGCGGTGATCATAGACTGAGCATTGGACTGTTGACTCACAGCTTGATTGTACTGCTGCTGAACTCCAGACATTCCCTGTTGTTGCATTTGAGGATGCATGCCAGGTACAACTGACTGCTGGGGCTGTGATGGCAACTGATGCATTTGAGTTTGCATCTGTGGCATCTGTTGATTAGCTCCAGTGAGTTGAGTGGGCATCTGCATCTGTTGAATGTGATTGGGTATTTGTTGATTTTGCAGAGCTTGTATCTGAGCTTGACTTGGCAAATGCTGGAGTTGAGCCTGCTGGGCTCCCATTGGCTGCTGTCCTTGCATGTGATGAGTTTGTCCCATATTGGGAATTTGTGTTTGCTGCATATGCATTTGTGGATTAGGTTGGCCTTGTATTTGCTGCATCTGCATTTGTTGCATTTGTGGCTGCTGAGCGGCCACTTGAGTAATCTGTCCTTGATTTGGCATAGCCTGCATCTGGGGCATTTGTTGCTGCATTTGAGGCATGTTTGGTATTTGTGCCTGCGGCATATGTTGACTTATTTGCTGCATTTGTTGGTTTGGTATTTGTTGCATTTGCTGCGGCATCTGTTGGTGCATTGGAATTTGTTGCATTGCCATTCCCTGAGATTGGGCAATCACTTGCTGAAGCTGGTGCTGAGGGAAGCTTTGAGGGATCTGTTGCACTTGCTGTTGTTGAGTCTGTTGTGGATGACTTTGCGGAGCATTTTGCATAGTGATGTGAGTCATACTCTGGGGATGCTGCTGTCCAACCTGCTGCTGGTTCGCCTGCAGATTTTGATTTGGCATTTGTTGTGGCATCTCTAAGGGTGGAGACTGCACTGATACTGATTGAGTAACAGGTTGCATTTGCTGCTGTACGGCATTAAGAGGTTGAGTCAAAGATTGGCCCGGAGATGCCATTGGAAATTGTTTCTGAAGAGTTTGTTCTAGTTGCTGCACAGTAGGAGCATTACCTTGCATATCTTTAGGCCCTTTGTTAGTCAGATCATTTGACATTTCATCATGTTGACTATCGTTAATCACTACACCACTGTCAGGAGCCTGCAGCGTATTAGTCTCAGAAACATCAAGGTTATTATTTATAGTGATCGGTGCATTTTGCTGAGTAGTATGGTCCAAGTAATCCATACACATCCATCGACCTCTACGAAAAGGCTCAGTGCTTTCTATTTTCACAACTTTAAACCGTTCATTCCTAACATGTTCTTGTATTTCTTTCATACCTTCTTGGGGTTTCGCATTTCCTATGAGATTAATGATGCTGCCTGCTCCGGCGTTAGTAACGCTGACATGCATGTCAGACACTTCAGTATTATTACTATTTGGCACTGCTCCTCCTATCTGGTTGGTAGGGTTGTCCTGACCGACGATCGCAAGCCCGTATTGCGAGCTGGTTGGGATGACGGGGGCGCAACCTAATGATGCACTTGACGCGTTGTAAAACACATCATCTTTCGAGAACGTGTCCTCGGAATAGCTAGGCGTTTCATTCTCAATGTCAGTCACCCTCGATATGTCGTCGGTGTGAGATTCATCAAGATCGTCGGCAGAGTCTTCGCCAGCATCAGTGCTCACTCGCGAGCCGACCGTCACACTGGTGATCTGAAATGAAGATATTTTCCTTGGGTTATGGGCGGCTTGCAGACTTGTCGGGTGAGTCACCCCCTTCTCCGACTCGTTCAGTCGAAGAGATTCACTCGTCGTACGGTGAACAACGTTGTTATACTTGTTTTTCTCACTAGTTTTATGTGACTTTTGAATCAGATTGTCAGCCATTATGCCGTCCGAACCGAATGACTATCTAAAGAAAATTTCACTGTTTATTGGCTTCAGAGACATTTGATAGACCTTTCAATCACAATAATACATGAAATATAAAACCATTGTACACTCACAATTTCACAAACACAGTAATTTAACTATATAAGTTCTTAAAATTCATTAGTAAACACACACAGTTGCGAACATCTTTCAGACGGCAGCAACATGGCGGCCATTTATGCGCAATGCATTATGGTTGACAATTTGCAGTAGACTATAGACATTCTAGAGTTTTGACATGATTACCTTTCTTTGCCGATAGATGGCAGTAAAATCGTCAGTCTAATATTTATGAAAAATCTAATTAGACATTTCAAATTAAGTGAGTGCCAATTTAAAAATATTAATTTAGAATAATAGCTTTTTTTATTAAAAAGTTAAGTTTTATTTTAATAAAAATAAAACTGAGACTGACATTTAGTCGCTATGTACACACACGCACTTAGTATATTAACAAGAAGCGGGTAGCGATACAACACACGATTGATTTTGGTGTATTTTTAGATATTTGACAAGCATTCCAATGTTCTATATAAATTTTCAATCCAACTCTTCATGAAGATTAATTTAATTAGGTATAATGCTAAATGTTGTTATTCTATATCTTATCTTAAAACCTTGATACTGTACTAAAAGAACGGTGTTAGTTTTGTACAATTGTATATGATATACGTATACTCACATATATTTGACGGAGATAATATAAAATAAATAACATCACAAAGTGTTCTGCGTAGAGATTCACTTTTTAATACTTAGCTACTGCACACTAGATGGCGCTCAATACTGTTGATAAACTTATTATACATTCCGGTAGATGGCAGTTTAATCAATTTTAATGCAATGATGGAAAGTAAAGAGTGGAAGTATTGAGAGATGAGTGAAAACGTCATTTATGTGTCTGCTGAGTAAATATCAATTTTAATAGGATAGTAAAGTTCCAAAGAATACCGTAACAATATCTTAGATGTAGAGAACAAGTACAATACATTCATTTGAATTTTAAAATGACTTCATGGATGAACCTAGGTATAACATGGGTTTAACTATGGATGAACCATAGGTTACAATGTATTATTTATAGGTAGGTACTAAATAGCAAGTTCCTATGACAAATTACACAAAATTACTTTAGTAAGAATATAGTGACTAGGTAATTGAAAGACTTTAAGGTGATATCCAATGTTTAAGTTAATAACGCCTAATCATTCTCATTGAGGTTGGTAATATCTGTAATCTACAGACTCCCTTGCTGACTCAGATTTATTAAATTCGTTTTTATAAACAAAATATGTTTAGCTATATATTCCATGTTTTAAATAAGCCTTTAAGCGTGCCGACTTTAGGTCGATTTCACAGAAATATATCTATGGTCGATTCCCATTAGGTACGTGCAAACTATTTATTATTCACCTAATTGGAGTTATAGGACTAAGAATGATAGGCTTATGAGGCTGTTCACCTACTTACGTAGGTATTAAGATACATTAGGTAATTAAAGTTTTTAAATATTTTAAAATATAATATGAATCATAGGTACTTAGCTTAATATTGATACTTTATATTTGACTTTGAAAATGATAAATGGATATTACGGAAACCTCCGTTCAGTGGTCGGTTTTCGATGTAAGTATATATGGTACTAGTACTAGTGTAATATGCATGTAATATATGTACATATAAACGTTCCTTAAGAATCACTCTATCTATTAAAAAAATCGTATCAAAATCCGTTGCGTAGTTTTAAAGATCTAAGCATACATAGGGACAGACAGACGGCGGATAACGACTTTGTTATATACTAAGTATGTAGTGAAGAATACTCCCAAAATCGAAAAAAGTACGCCGTACGTAAAGCAAAGCCAATCGCTATTGGTAATTAACATTTTTGTAAGATGTTAATTACAAATAAAATTTTTAGCTAAATCGCGTTCGGACTTTCGGACGGCGCGGCGCCAATACTCTTTAGTTTACTGATTTTTATAATTTAAAATTTAATTAAAATCTATTTTGAGCCTTACATTCTAACCGAGCAACGGAACCGTTAATAATACAGTCGATGCCAAGTACTGTCTGTTTATTATGATTTATTAGGTATATCCTAGTAATAATTGGTATTGTTTAACCTCCACTGCTTGCCTGTGATTGTTGTACAGGTAGATACATAATAAGAATAACATTGTACAGGATAACTAATCTTAGTAACATTGATAAAATAGGTACTTAGTAAGGATTTCTTTATGACATTACTAAAGGTCAAAAGGGCGAAATATTTTATTAGATACTATCTAAATTCGCTCAGCCACAAAATATATGTACGAATAAGAAGTAGGTACTAGTACCTACTTAATTCCCTCCGAATTATTTTGAAAATGACCTTGACGACCTTACAAAGGACACACGATGCGTTGCTTCAGACTAATAGATATTTACTTTAATAAACCACCTCTTAATATAACACTGATTATAAAATATAACTTTTATACAGATACAAAGAAAAATAAAATCAAAGTGACTTACTTACAAATGGTGAGTAGCTCCAGAGTTCGCGCTAATTCGCGATGCGCGCCTTCGTCTCGGGAACTAAAGGATCGAGCGCCCCGACCCCAGCCATTACCCACAAGGTCTTCGGATCGCCAGCCGATTTAGCCAACATCCCCACCAATCGCCGTGACACTTCTTAAACGAAGGTAATTTGCTATTATTTGTAAATTGGTGTGCCGAGCGACGTCCGCCGAGATCTAACCGAGGCGCAGTCGCTCGGGAGCACGGGACCCTCCCTGGCTCTCCCGCTGGCTCCGATCATACGTATGTTCAATACAACTAAACTAAAACTCCCTTATGTAAATAATCGTCGCACTGACAGCCTTTGCTACCGAAACGAGCGCCAGTCGATAAGATATAGCCCACCAACAAACATCCTTTCGTGATGAAAATGTGAATGTGAGTGATTCCGATATGGCGAAATCTGTTGAAGTGAATAAAAACAGTGAAGACGATTCAACCATGGACGGGGATAGTGATGAGGAGTTAGGATGCGTGGGGAGACTGATGGTGAAGTTGCGGATCAACCCAAACTTGATCATGTTGAAAGTGACTCTGTTTGTTATGTACGGAGCCACAGCATCTCTCTTGCCGTATCTGACGATACACATGCAGAGTATAGGACTGACTGTGCCCGAAATTTCTTTTGTGTATTTAGCGTTGCCGTTCACAACATTTCTTAGTCCACCTATAACCGGTAAGTTTAAATGTTTAACTATAAAGTGATTCTGTTAACAGTGTATTTAGAAAATTGGAATGGTTTTAGGATTTTTGGTGGACCGTTTTGGGGAATACAAGCCAGTCGTGATCACTGCATTGATTATGAATGCTGCTTTCCACCACTCGTTGCTGCTGATTCCTCACCAAGAGACGCCAGGGATGATGCCATCAGCTTACGTCATGCGCCACCCGATCACGAATAGCGTAGAGGTACTTACACTTGTTTCGAAATCGACCCCTTAAGACCTTGTTACGTACTAACAGAGTATACACCTAAGAATTTGAGCAAATCGTTCTCATCCGGCCCCAGGGCGAATTAACTAGTAGTGTCTTGTGATCCTGTATGTTTGAATTAGTTAAGAGAATTAAGCTAAATTTATGCACGTTGGACTTTACCCTTGATCTAATGGTTCATCCGTTTTGTTTGGAAACCAGAGAATAAGTAATGAACATTTAAATTTTCTATCCAAGAATAGCATAGCCTACAAATACTCACCGAGGTGCTTCTTTTGTTATTGTGGGATGTACTATTATACGATATTCACACATGTTATTTTTTTCTCTTAGATTTGGTGGAGTCCGTGTCCTAGCAGGGAATGCCCCGGCGAGGATGAAACAGTAGACTTTGTGCTAGATCGTTGCGTTGATCATTGCCTTCTATCGAAACCTACAGAGGCGCCAGCTAGCGATCCTTCTGATGACAAGGACGATTTGGATTTCCATATAAGTCATAAGGTTCAGCTACCAAACTTAAAGTCTAATCTAAGGTAAGATAATTTTTATTCAGCGTGTCCCAATAAAAAATGTATTACAATTTTTACAGTAACAACTTGTCATTTGAATGAATGATGATTGCTAATTGTAGTGAAATTAAATAACTTGGAAATTAATTACGTGAAATAAATGCGCAGCAGTAATCATGTAAATTGCGCTATTGCTCATGTTAAATAACACTAACAGTGATAACACTGTGCTACAGTTTCAAACAAACATTAAAGTACTTTGTTGGTGAATCTCGAATGTGTATCAGGTTTTATTGTTAAGCCACCAGACAAAATTCCTTAGGCTTTGTAGGGCAAACATTTTGTGTTTCTACGAAAATGAAATAATTTTCTTATTGTCAAAACACTATATTCATAGTCTGTTTTTCATAAATAAAATCTTTGTTTATTCAGAAATAAAAGTAGTCATATCAAAAGAATAAATAGTGCCTTGATTACTCATCACAACTCATGAGGTCAGCGGTATAAACCAAGGTATATCATTGCTGAGCACTATGTTCTCAGTTAGGTATTCAAGTCGAGCAAAAAAGGTGATTTATTTGTTTTATAGTTCGGAACTTATTTTCAGTTACTTAAATGGTACAGACGATGAAGATTACAATGACGCTGCATACTTTTTGATTGAAGTCCATGATGATTTGGAAGAACCAAAAGAACAGCTTGGAATTGAAATGGAAAGGGTAAGGAAGATATTGACTAAATAATAATGAGCATTAAAAAATCGACCTAAACTCTAATTCAAACTTCATTTTTAGGACGACGACGAACGAATAACAGATTTTAGATCGAGATTTGGAGAAAAGCTTTTAATAGCCCAAGGTATCAATATAACAGAACTTGATAAAGAGGATCTTCGTTGTGGAGGGCTCGTCATGTTGCACAATATGACCAAGCTCTCTCAACAAAGGCTTGAGATTTTATCTGCAGATTGTATGGTACAAAAATGTGACTTCAGGTAATGTAGCAACAGGCATTTCTACTAATACCGCTATTTGATTATAATATTATTTGTAAACCAACTACTTAATATTTATCTAAAGGTACACAAACGGCTATCTAAAGGTAAATTTATCATTGGAATATTACAGGAGAGGCGGCCCCGATACCTGCCCACCGGATTATAAGGAAAGCGATGATAAAACTTTCTATATTTACTTCTTCTTGAGATTTATGGGGACTATCATGTTGTCTGCTGGCGTCACTATCATGGATCCAATAGCTTTGACTATGATACAAAAATACGGCGGAGACTTTGGAAGAGAAAGACTTTTCTCTAGTATTGGAATGGCTATATTTTCCCCCATAACAGGCATGTTAATAGATATGAGGAGTAAACAAGTTGGTACGTATAATTGTTAGCATCTTGTAATATGTTATCGTTAATGTCAATAATGTGTAACTAAATGTTTACATCGGATTGTTGATTACAGGATACACTGACTACTCAGCTGCGTTTTATACTTATGATGTGCTGCTTCTAATATCGGCTGTAACTGTAGCTGTTATGCCTTTAGGAGCTAAATTACCAGCTGATAACTTACTACGAGACTTGGTCAACATAATCAAAATGCCCCATATAATTGTATTTATATTTTTCCTGTTTGCATTGGGTAACTTTTGGGGTTTTATTGAATCTTACCTCTTCATATACTTGAAAGAATTGGGAGCTCCTAATTTTTTGTTGGGTGAGTGTTTAATGTTTATGTGTATCTATGAGAACTATATTGTCAAGATTAAGAGTACTAGAAATTTAGTAACAATCGAAATGGTTTGCTTGAATATTGACTAGATCATGTATCTAGGAATACCGTGACCGTGGGCACGCTGAGCAGTATCCCGTTCCTCTACGGCGCGGATGCCATCACTGCGCGTATCGGCCACGTGAATGTCATCATAGTTGCATTCTTCTCCCACGCTGCGAGACTCGTCGGCTACTCGTTTATCGAGTGAGTATCTCTAGATCTCTTCCTTGTGACTTTACTTATACCTTCTGCATTACCTGCACGTGATTCTTGTGCACCCACTCGTGTCTAATCATTGGGCAATTGTGGTCCTGTAAAATTGCTCTTGTTACTTCATCAATGTCCTAGTTATAGTTTCATATTCACAGAGCTAAGACGGACAAACCTTAAGTAAAGCACCTTCACCAATTCTTGCATTACATCGTATTTAATTTGTGTTATTATTGAAACTTGTGGAATGATACAAATAAAACAATGCGAGAACTATGTAAGGAGATAAATATAGTACAATACTACATCTATTTTATTGTCTTGTACACAATAGTGTTCATAGAGTACCTGATAAGTGCAACCCTGGCACTGACATATTTAGATACAATGCATCTGTAGACATGGCTTTTACTGTCTATGTTTAAGAAAAACTTTATGGAAAAATAGTGTACGAGTATAAAACATTTCGGTATGACATGAACATGGTAGATACCTAAAAAATTATTAACTGCGCGATTATCGAGTTAGCTTGCGGTTTGGGTTACTAGTAAAGTATATTAAATATTCAAACGCGTACGTCTTCGTCCATCTTAGCCAGAGCTACCATCTTGTACCAATCTGTATGAGCAAAGAATTCCAAGGCCCCATCTCTTTTCAGGTCAACCTGTTATTTCCTTAGGAAGTTACCTATTACACAAGGATAAGAAATAATTTTTAAAACGTAGTTAAGCTAGTGATAATGATATAAGGTCGACGTGACATATACGGAAATATGTTGAAGCTGCGTAATTTATTCGCAGGAAACGTTACGGTAATGATTGGGTATACAACTGATGCTTATCTCGGCCCACACACCAGAATGACCAGTTTCCTTTGATGTATATGACATGAGACATCCTCACTATTAAAAATAATTGCATTGAAAAGTTTTTTGGTCCTGATACACCAGGACCAGCATACCAGGAGCAGCAGCAGGACCAAGAGCTCCTGCTCTTGGTCCTGATTGACCTATCAACTTCTACATTTCCATCAATTTAGAGTTTATAAAGAAGTTCACAAGAAACACAAAAGTCCCGATACAAGAATTTATAATATCATAAAAATTACTAACAGTGTAAAAGGACTTAATGAATAGATTAATTATCTTCTACATGTTCAACTTTATACCATACAGTACCAGAACCAGTTGCAATACCGTAAATGTTAATAGGCATTATAATTTTGTCCTGAGAATCAAACTAACAATTTACGAAAGAAGCCACATTAGATTAAGCCGTAACTATAAACTGGCACAGAAATGTCCTTAGACATTAAAACTCCATTTTCAAGATTAATGTATTTACGACGGAACGGCATTGCCAAGTTTATGAGCACAATGATGTTGTGTGGGAGGACTCTAATGCAAACACTTACCTGATGTAGTGCCTACTGTAGTAACTCATGCTATGGACAATGAAACGAAAATAGGTAACGTAATTGTATAAAGTGAAGCGAAGTGAACTCTATTGAAAATAAAGATTAGGTTGGAACAAATATAATTGTTACAAGAACCTTTGACAGTTAATAGGAAAAATTAAACAGGTAGTGATTAAATAGAAGTGAGGCTAAGGCTAAGTAAACAAAGTCTAATGGTCTATTAAAAGACCTTTGAGTAGATTGGATACTAGAGGTAGCATTGACTTCACAGGAATTTGAACATTTGCGTCGATTGCACGTAGCCAGTAGGTAACTTTTTAGTGTATCAGGGCGCTTTTTGGTACGTAACAACTATCGCAAATTTTTACTGAAAACCTCTTGCAAAGTTAGAAAATTATATACAACATGTGATGAAAAATATAAGTGTCTAGTTCATGTGTTCGTTGCAATATTCGCAATTGCAGTTTAACAACTTTCTGCTGATTTATGGAACACCGAACAAGCGTAGTAAAATTGTATTAAGTCTTTTATGATTATAAGCTGTTTTTGTTTCTAGTACAAACTTAAATAAGTCGAAAGTAAACATATTTTATGTTTTTTTTCAGAAATTCGTGGTGGTGTTTTCCATTTGAAGCCATGGAATCTTTGTCAGTACATTTGATGTGGGTCGCAGCAGCTACTTACTGCGCAATGCTTGCACCGAAGAGTCTCTTAGCCACGTTGATTGGAGTGCTGGGAATGGCGCACTTCAGTCTTGGTAGGTTAATTTTAAACTTTAATAAGTAAAGTACTATAGTCATTAACCAAATACATTGAATACTAATCATAGTGCTAATACGGAGCCGCGGAAGACTTAACGGGTTGCCGGGGCTCCGGCTCGAAGTGCCGGAGTAGGAACGGGGTGGTTTTTAGTCAGTAAAAGTCTGACACTCCCTCCCGCCTCACCCGGGCGGGAGAAGTCGTTGGACGATATTCCCCCCTCAAAAAAAAGTGCTAAATATAAAAATTTGGCATGATGATGTTAGAAGTTAGAAAAAAATTGGGGGAAAGAGCTTTACAAACTAAACAGTTTAGAATTACTGGTGACTTTTAAACGTGTCTTGAAAATGTTCAGTCAAATATTGATTCGTTAAAAATACAAAGAGGAATAGGTAAGCTGAATAATAAACAAGAAAACAGAAGACTGTTTGAGGGAAATAAGATAAACGATCGTCTTCTCATCCTTGAACAAATAGTGCACAAATCTAAGCCATACAAAGAATTACAACTTACTTTACGATTCGAATTCAGATAACATTTTGCGTCATGTGTGAAAACAATCGCATAAGCCGTCATTAAATTACTTCGGAAAGGTTACTATTACTTTGTTAGTTATGGCTGTAAATACATTTCTATCAAGAATATATTTATACTGACTCGACAAACTTCGTACTGCCTAACATTCTTTTTACTCTTCTTATAAACCTTCCCTAGACTTCCACAAATAATTCAAGGCCAAAATTAGCCAAATCGGTTCCACTGTTCTAGAGTTTTAGTAAGACTAAAGAAAAGCAATTCATTTTTATAGAAGATGATCATTTTTAGGTAGGTATTTTTCACTCAGTACTTTTACACGAGTCATTGGATCCTTGCTCTACTTTTGTTCTTATTTTATTTACTTTTTATTTTACTAGGGAGGGGTAGTGGCAGTTTTGGCGGTGGTCTCCTCATCGCAACCCTCGGCACTAGAGAAGCCTTCCGTTACATGGGACTGATTGCCTTCCTCGGAGGAGTTCTGTACGGCTTACTTCATTACTTCTGGTTGAAAAACATCAACATGACTAGAGTACAGAGCGTTTGTGACCCGGATACAGGTGAAAATATTGGTAAATATTGTAATTTTTTCATTTAAGTAGGTACAGAAAAAATCCAATTTACTTGTAACTGCATTTCATTGTGATGAACATCAAGATAGTCATATTCAAATCTGTGAATACCTCTTTCAAGTTCCTTCTAGTGGTCTTCTTGCTAGCTGCTGCTAGCTGTATGTCGTAGATGGACTAAATAGGTATTATAAATGGCAGAAACAGAAAGTGATTTAAAATGGACTAAATACTGTTCTTGCAGAAAGTGGAGAAGGTGACAAGCTGAATGCAGAACCGTTGACGAAAGATGCAGAGACTATGATATCTCTGGAGCGCCTGCACATGATCACACGCTTCAATCCACTTGGCTCTCTACATTCCTTGCCAAGGGGCTCACGTTCGAGGGTATGTGACGGAATTTGTGATTTATCTTAGAAAATATTAAAAGTAAAAACTTTTGCTTTCTAGATTTTCTAGTCAAACATTATTTTAAGTTCTAAAGAAGATTGAAAGTGAATCGAAAACTCACTTAATTTAGATATGCTTGAGGATGAAGAAACTTATCCTACTGCAATAACAGAGATATACTCTCCTCTACGGTTTCGGAAATTAAATCAGCAACAATCAACATAGAGACTGATCCTAATCTACTGAAACTTCATCTTTCAGTTCTCCCAAGGTGACATTAACGAGCACTGTCGTAGCCGCAGCGGTAGCAACAGCCAGAGACGAGGCAGCAACTATGAAGGTTCTGCTTCGAAGGTGGATATGCTTCGGTCTGCTATCGAAATAAGCCATCAACATGGACGAGGACACATTTCAAATAACAGCCTTTGCAGTAATAGAACTTCAAATCATTACAAGGTGAGATCTAGTTGATACACAATAGGATAAAAATACTACAAGGACTATTGAATAGATAAAGGACTAATGTAAAAATATTTAAATAAATCTCTTAAATTTCACCACTTCTTGGTTTAATTGACTAAAGTGAGGTTTAATTTTCTAATGATAGGGAAGCAAGGGCAGAGTATGATGACGTTCCTGTTCCACCAGGGAAGTTTTTAGAAGTAATCAATTAATACAAATAAGTTCACACAAAACATTTGCTTCATCAAATAATAGCAACATTTGCTTCATCAAAGAAAAATACCACAAAAACAGAAACAAAGACCAAATCACATGGGATGTTAACAACAAATATTTTACTAACAATTTTTCATACGTAATTAGTGAAGGATATAAATGTATTGACATTATTTAATTATCTGATACAATAGCAAATAGTATGAAACCTTGCGTATGATCTTCATTATGCCTCTATTTGCACGGTCTATCTGTGACGTAGCATTTAAAATTTACAACTGATTAATATAGCAAAGTAGCTTAAGATAGTAAAAAAGTACTGAGAATATAGGTATCCATAGTTATAAATATTATGTTCTAGATCGTAAATTACCTTCAAGTTTGTGCTCTAACTATTTGCATGGAAATTTTAATAAGTACTTTGTATTTATTGTGCTTTATCACGTGCGGCAAGTAAACGTTATTTTGAGGACATTGTTCTACAAGACGTAGATAATTTCTAGCCCTAGTATTCTATCATTATACCGATCAACCTTCATAAGTGCTTATAAAATAAGAGTCATTTGGTAGGCCTTCGTTATTTTATTAAACTTGAAAGTTGGTCACGCACCCGACGGGAATAAAGCAAATTCTTTCAACCTTCTCAAATTGTTATCAACATAGCAGTTAAGAATTGAAACCTTTTACATTTCAGCAAGCACAAAGCGCCCCAAAATTAGTTCTAGTGGGACTAGGGCAGAGGAACAACATATCGCAACCGGCTCTCTCGGAATATGACCCGAGGCGTCGTGATTCCATCCCAGAGGAAGCTGAAGAGGACCGCCTAGCTTTACCAGCTAAACCTCCCACGAAGACCAAGAGTGATAACCTTCCACCACCACCGAGCTATGATGAAGCAACTGGAGAACACAGGAAAAGTTGGCATTCGGATGACAGTACCCAACTTAAGGCTGCACCATCTTTGCATAAAACTGTCAAAAATATCGTAAAAGAGAAAAGAAATGTAAAAGATTTCGACTTTTTTGAGATTGTTAAAATCATCTCGAATTTTCGAGAATCGTGTTAAAGATTGTAGTTATTGAGCGTAGCCAAGATTGATAGAATTCATTTGGGTGTTTGAAATTATGTGTAAAGGAAAGGGAAGTAGTCTAAAACAATATATAATTAAGTTCCCTTGATTCGAAGTATGTTCTTTAAGTAACATAAGTTTTAAACTTAAGGATATTGGGAGAAAAATGAAAAGATTCGTCATCGTAGTACTACATAATTAACTTTAATCGCATTATTTTATCAATAAATAAGAGTAAGCAATTTTGTAAAGGCTTTAATTTATTTAAGTTGTAGATAATGGATATTATACATTTCTGTTGTGACGTATGTATCGTTTTATTTACTAAATTAGTCTAAATGATCCTAATTAAATATTCCAACTGCATACTATGATTTTTTAGCTTTACAAAAATATTGTTTCTTTATTTAATGGAACATGGAATACGCAGTAACAAGGTACCTATTTACACTTTAAATAAAGTATAAATACGTACATACGTATTTTACACTACATAAACAGAAAAGAAATACATTCAACTAATAATAATATTCAAGTAAAAGGCAGCTATTCACACAGCCACCCACTATCATAAATAAAGTTTTGGGGAACAGTATTTCCGTAGACAAGGAAAGCGATCCTCCTCTTCCTTGAGGGTCACAGGGCGGTAGGATTGCGAAATACCGAGTCTCACGTGTCGAGATATAAGGTATAACTAATAACACATTAAGTATAATAAAAAATTAATACTATAATAAAATTTAGAATTGATTTAACATATGTTTTTATTAGCTGCGTCCATTTTCATAAGCGTTTTGTGATAATTTAGTAAGAGGTCATGAAAATGGACACCGATGCGATAGTATATACTTTTCTAAGATTAAATAAATGCATGAATGCTTACATAGGTACAACGAAAATGAACTTACACTAAAGTAAATGTTTAATATTAAATATAATATTTTAGAAGACGTCTTCTAGAAGCTTACTGTATTACTTTGGACCCAATAAGGGATTAACGTCAATTACATTTTTGTATACCACGAAGTTGGCAAAAATCACATTGTCCACCTGATCGTATGTAGTTACCGTGGCCTATGAACGCTTGCAACACTACAACCTACAACAATTACAATGGTTAATCAATAATCAAATATATAAATAAACGCACCCACGACACAGAAGAAAATCCTAGTGTGGGGCAACGTTTAAAAAAAAAAAGAACCCCTTTTTCCCTTGGTTACGGCATCACGCGTGAATGGCTGGATCGATTTCACTAATTCTTTTTTTGTTGTATTTGTTATTATTAGGAGAAGGTTCTTAAGACAGAATAAATACTGAAAATACTACGGGAACGGGAAAAAACGGGATTGCGCGTACGAATTTGCGGGCAGAAGCTAGTACTGAATAAACAAACTATTTTTGCTAGAAAATGCAAACGCAATGCAATACTGTCTGATAATTTTATGGAATCACACCTCAGATTTAGTTAGACTTCTGATTCCAACATTCATTACTTGGTTCACCTACACTAACAATTGCGTAAATGGGGCATCATGCTTGATGATAAATAAATTATTTTTCTTTCTTTCTGACACGGTCTAAAAGAACAGATTTTTTTCATTGATAATTTCTTTTTAAATGAGTCTTTCTATATGTATCATTATTTTATTTTAGCTGTCTTCTGTACAGTCACGCTGGTTCGTCCTAATGAGGTACGCTCGGCTGATGTGGTTCTTGTCCAGTACTGCATACGCTTTCTCCATTACTTCCACTGGTGGGTTCCTTTCTCTCGTCAAGATCCAGGCGTTCACTGGAAGTTAGAGAATTTCGTATTTAGTAGATTTTATAAATAAATTATATTACTGCGTTTTTTAAAAATTCTCAGTAGTAGCACGGAGTCTGGAATTGTGCCCGGTATATTTCAATAGGCTCACCCCCTATTACATGGGACTCATAACATAAATAGTGAAAAGTGGCTGTTACATTGTATAGTGGCATAACTTGCACCTCGGTCTACCCCTTCCGGGATAAAAGGCGTGATGTTATGTATAAATTACAACGTTCTTCTTCTACATTTTTAAAGTGCTTTTTAGCTGTAAAAAATATTAAAAGTTGGGCCCAAGATCTCTAGCTAATGCTAGCATTAGGAAATGAAAATATAGAAATAACATAAAACCAAAGAATAGAACTTACAAGTATGGAACAGTCCAAATTCGTAACAGCTCCATACTACAGCATACGACTTGTAGTCAGTATCGATGACCCAGTAGGGAGCCTCAACGTTGACCGGTAAAGATGGGAAGGATACTGCCAGCTTAGCATCATCTGATCTGCTCACTTGAGTTGCTTGGCCTTTGATTTCCGTCTGAGTTCCCGATCTGAAAACAGAAATGAAGCGACCAGTTAATTATGGGTTTAAAGAATCAATGCTGAATGAAAAACTATAGTTGATGATGATAATCGTCTAATTTTGGCTGGCTACTTAGTTGCTACTGAGTAGCAGTACAGTGGCAGTGTGACAGTCGCCGTGTCGAGGGTTGCAGGATGCAGTTCATGAATATAAGCCTGTAGCATGGCTTGAAACTAGTCGAGTTACTCGTCAACCAGTTACGTGAGTAAGTCGAAAAACATAATAATTAATTTAGTATGTCTCACGGAAGTTATAATACTAAGAGGAATCAGTAACAGTATTTGACTGAATATCACGTATTTATTTATTTATTTACACTTTAATGCACACAAAATAAGGTACACAAGGCGGACTTAATGCCATATGACATTTTCTCCCAGTCAACCTTTGGGTTAATGTAAGCTCAGCGAAAATAGGCTTGTGTAATAATTTACGTATTATGTAACGGCTTCATATTATGCTGTACTGTGCCTCTTTCTTAGAAGATTTCTTTTTGAAACATACATTATCCATTTTCAGCAATTTTACTAGTTATTGCTCATTTCTACTCCGTGTAAGATGGGGCCTTTGCTCAAAAGTTACAGTTATATACTGATGACAATCATTCAAATTCTTCGTCTACAACTGTATTCTTCAATTTTTATGAAGTTTGTCGTGTCCATACTAATCGAATGAATGATATTATTGTCTTGTCAACCGTATTAGTTCGTAATATTGTTAAACATTATATGTATCTGGGACGATGCGACGACCAGACTCAATGGGCTATATAGAACGTATTAATGTTTCATTGTATGTTTATATGGAATAGATTTCATATTGTTAGGTTTTAGACATACTCAGGACTAGTGAAAAAAGCAAATGAAGAAGAAAATATTTTAAAAATCTTGATATACTGTAACTTACATGATGGTAACTTGCAATGTTCTCACACATAATTTTTTATAAATATTTGTCTGGAATTTAAAAGAGACGGACATCTGAGTTTATTTCGGAATTTATTCTCAGAGTAGTCAGTTAGAAAATGTCGGCATCATCGTTCGCTTGATAAAATTGACGTGTAAAAGTGCTGCCTTGTAGCCTATTTGAAGAAATAAAATCACTTGTTTCACTTGATGGATTAATATTGAAAGTATTGATACATTTTAAGTCATAGTTATGATTGTGTGTATATGTATATATGTATGCTATTTTTATTTAGTTTTGTCTTGTTTTCAATTAGTAATTAGGTACTTAGATTTAGTTTTAGGCCTAAACTATCGCAATGGAGAAAACTGTAATGATAGTTTTAGATAAGGTTTTATTGTTAAACTCTAGCCAGATGTTTACAGAACGGTTACCACATTGTATTAAATAACACTTAGTAGTTTAAATTAATTAAAAATTTAGTACAAAATACGATTATAAGGTCGCTGTAAGGTCGTGGAATTAGCAAATTGTGAGCTAATTAAACGACAGTATCATTGTTAGTTTTTCGAAGTACGATTTTATTTTGTACCTACCTAATTTAACTAATTAAAATTAAAACCTTTAGTCTCCAATTATTAGCTGTAAGCTTTTCGTCACATCAATCTACATCATAATAATATGGCAGATGGCTAATTTTTATTTTAATGTCCGTAATTTTATTTTTTTACGGAAACGATTAATTTCGAAAATATATTGATTTGAAATATCGCATGACGTCACTTTTGAGTACGATTTACCTATATTTTAAAATGACGTAGCTACCTCCCACTCCTAAACTTTGATTCGTTTTATCCCAGTATTGTTTTTTATACGGCAAAATAAAAAAATACGTGTCTAATATTTTTTCATTACCTAACTGACGGACTAATTAGATTTAAAACAAAAATAGATTTTTATTTTCATATACTGTCATCATCCCTGTCATCTTTAATAGTTTTTCTCAGATTTAGAAAAATCATGGAATGTACTGACATTCCATTCAAACGTTACCGTATTTAAGGCGAAGATACTATTATCTTCGCCTTAAATACGGTAACGTTTGACTATGACTATTCATTACCATCAATTTTGGAAGACAAAACAGCATTCTTTTTGAAAACAGCTAACGGTTAAATAATGAATAGACCGCTATTTTTAGACTAACCGTAACTGAGACAAGGAAGTACCGTAAACGAACTAATTATAAAACTTCGAATCAGGTCAGAGTTCACGTAGTTTAGAACATTTTGGACTAAATCCATGTCTTGGCTAAACAAAGCACCGGAAATTGTAATGCATTTTAATACAATTAATACTTAGTAAAATCGTCTTGATGTCATTTTAGCGGTTGACTCTTCTTTTCTAATGTATAGGGATGCTTATTTTAAAAAGACTGCCTCGTTGGCCGAGTGGTCGCAAGTGCGACTGCCAAGACCGGGCAAGGGGTCTCGGATTCGATTCCCGGGTCGTGCAAAGTATTACTGGGTTTTAAAAAAATGTCAGTAGTAGTAGCACGGAGTCTGAAATTGTGCCCGGTATATGGCAATAGGCTCACCCCCTATGACATGGGACTCATAACATAAATCGCGAAAACTGGGTGGTACATTGTACAGTGGCATAATGTGCACCTCTGCTTACCCCTTCGGGAACAAAAGGCGTGATGATATGTTATGTTATGTATTTTAAAAAGTTTCAGAAATATAGAATAGGTAATTTAAGTGTGGGAGAGCCAGGCTTCGGCATGAATGGCCGGCCTCACAGAGAACCGACGTGAAACAACGCTTGTGTTGTGTTTCGTCGTGTGTGTGAGGTTACCGGTGGTACAAAAATCCTCAAAATCCTAATCCCCAAAAGGTCGGTAACGCACTTGTCACACTTCTGGTGTATCAGGCGTCCATGGCCGAGGCCGATTGCTTACCATCAGGTGATCCCTCTATGTGTTTACCGACTTATCCCATAAAAAGGTGCACACTATGGCATGACACTCGTATGTAGAAGAGGTTCTTGATTCAGCAGAAAACCCTCACGGGCTATTGATGTAGATGACTAGAAAGATCTGCCTCCATACTTACAGAATATTAATCTGCCTGTTTAGAACTCCAACGACTCCATTCTCTCTCAGCGTGTAGTCAGCAGTGATGCATTTGCCTCCAAACTCGAATAGGAAGAAATATTTTTCAGCTTCATACCATCTCCCCGTATACTGAAATATTCAAATATAAATGGTTACAATCTTGTGTGCATAATGTATAGTAGTTTTGGTGTATAATATATATTTAATGTGTACATTTTGTTTTTTTTTACCGACTTTCGTTCTCAATTCGACCGTATATATGCTTTTTTATGTTTGTTCGCCGATATCTCCGTTATTTATGAACCGATTTGGATAATTCTTCTTTAGGCTTTTAACCTATTAGTGGGTGTGTAAGCTATAAGTACGTAGGTATGACCAATAATAGTTATTTATTTCCTTTTTAGTTTTTGTTGGTCTTTGTTTTTGTTTCTCTTCTATTTTTGTTTTCTTTTTTTCCTTTTACAATTTTATTATTGTGCATATACCACCCATTCCCAGATTCTTTCAAAAATTCCAACCAAAGGTTGTCTGGAAGAAATTGCCGCGAATGATAAGACTGTACTGTACTTAAATTACTATTACAGTGTTAACATTTCTTTTTCTGTGTCTTGCAATAAAGTATAAATAAATAAATCATTATTTGTTTTTCATGTTATAAGTCTCATTTAATAGAGTGTGAACTTATTGCCATGCTCTGGGCACTATTCCAATTTTCGCGATAATACTATTTTCGAAAAACTAAAAAAAACGAGTTGTTTGCCATCACTCAATTCGTGTCTGATGAATAAAATTAAAATGAGCAAAAAAGGTTTATAATAAGGAAACTTTTTTATGAGTCTTGTATAATTATTTTTTACCACATGTCATACCAATTACTTATTCACATTCAGATTATGAGTTTAAAAAAATAATGCCAAAGTAATTTTGACAAGGCTATAGCTTAGGCCTTAACGAGATTACGTAAAAACATTAAGAACCTGTTACATAATATATTCTAATTAAGTTGCTGTTAGTCTAACTGACGGATAATTTGACGTATAACGTATTTGTCAAATTAGCTAATGAACAGAAACTGTAAAAGAGGCTCTTAAAATATTAAAAACTAACGTCGAATTTTGTTTAACTCGTCGAGTACCGTCATTATAGACACAATTAAAGAACAATAGGTCGCGGTCACCGGTGACCGCTTGGTGCTTGACAGTTTAAACCAGATTTGATCCAATAGTTGAATGTTCTAGTTATTTTTACTAAAGAGGGAAGAAAAGAACTTGATTGATAACAGGTAAAGTTTTTTGATTTTTTTCGAGGTTAAATGCAGACGGATCACCTGATAGTAAGTTATCAGCGCCAGCCATTTTCTCTAACAAATCAGAGGTATGCTTTAGCTATCTTTTTTAACTGCCAATAATAATTAGTAGGTACTAATTACTACCATTTTGCCTTACCTTTCGCTGACTATACTCTGATTCCTAAACTCCACTGTAAGCCCTTAGTAAAATATTAATAATATACTTACTCGAGTAGCATCGAAGTTGTCCATAGCCTTCATATCGGGACAAGAGCCGGGCATTATGATCTGCGCTCTGCATAGCCTCAGTGAAAAGAAACCACATAGAAACACTGCAATTGCTCGTAGAACTGACATCTGGAATTAATAAATAAACTTGATTTAACTACTTTTTAAACACCTGTAAAGATGGCAGAGTAAATTTGTCACCACTTCTGCTCGCCGATGCTGTATGAGCCGACTAAGGGAACTACATCGCTACACGTTTGGCAGTGATCGAGTATCATCATTTTATCAAAGAATAAGTTAATGTTAGCCTACATTATCTAATTCGTCTGGCTACCAAGCATTGGCGAACTAATGGCAAGCTAATTGCGAACCCATCTTTTGTAGAGATAGTTTAGTCTTTTTTTAAGTGTCAGATTCTTCCTACAGATTATTACAGACTAAACCCCCTCCCGTTCCTACTCCTGTCCTACGAGCCGGAGCCCCGGCAACTCGTTAAGTCCTCCGCGGCTCCGTAAAGTCCATAGTCTTATGCAACGTTTTTGGAAATTAATCAAACAAAAAATGAATTATTATGTTTTCGGCTTACTCACGTAATAATTTGACGAGGAACTCGACTAGTTTCAAGCCATGCTAGAGGTTTTCATGAGCAGCTGGTCATGAATATGAGCCTTTAGCATGGCTAATAATTTATTTAGTATGTCTCACGAAAGTTATAATACAAACAAAAAATGTTCCAGAAAATGATTCGATAATGAAATTATATCATAAATTTTTGCCTTTTAGCACTTCCTAGTTTATTATATTTATTTATATCACGCGTGGTTACTGTCTGTCTGTCAGTCAGTTTGCGGTTTTTTGTTGGTACTGTATGTTCGACCTTCAATATTACTAATCAACTGTACGTCGGTACGTCATCAATACTTCATACGTTACCTTCTATTGTAAGGTACGTAATGTCATTATTTGTTTTAGCCACTCCAAACGTTTCTGTTTGTTTTTGTTTTTCAAGAAAGGATTGTCCAGTGTAGTGTTACTTTGAACTGAATTAATCATAGAAAGAAGTGTAGGTTTGTTATCTTGATAGCAAATCTTTGGGTGTGGTTACAAATAGACACTTAGTAGTTACAAATAGAGACTTAGGTGTAAAATAGCCGTGGGGAATAAAAAACTTTTAGATAAGGAAAATTAACATAGAATAGTTCAAATTATTTTTGTGGAGTCATTTAACCAGACCACCACAGTTGGGGCCCGATAGGGCTGATGCCGATTCGGAGCCGCGGACAACCTAACGGGTTACAGAAGTGCAGGAGTATGAACGGGCTGGTTTTTAGTCAGTAAGAGTCTGACACTCCCTTCCGCCTCACCCAGACGGGAGAAGTCATTCGATGATTTTCCCCCTTAAAAAAACTAATTCAAATGAGGATTCATACGGAAATTACAAACTCCTACATAATATGTAGTTCCTACTATCCATGTATAATGAAATTGACTTAAAAAAAAAAAAAAACTGCCTATTTGCATGATCCAAATGCGTCATCTTGGTTACAAGAATAATAGTTGTGTCTACTATTGTTAATCATTGTTTGGGACAGTCACCTAATAATATCCGTAGTTCACGAGGACGGTGGACCGTGAACATTTGTTTAGGTAGTTCCGGATTCTGCTTTGCCTGTAAAAGGGCTTGAAGTTTACTACAATTTGGTAGTTTCCAGGGTAAGAAAATTAAAAATCTAATTAGTCCGTCAGTTAAATAATGAAAAAATTTTACACACGTATTTTTTTATTTTCTCGTATAAAGTTACAATATTTAGATAAAATGGAGTTAAGTTAAGGAGTGGGAGGTCGTTACGTCAAAACGTGCTACATTTTGTAGCACGCTGTGACGTCACACGACATTTCAAATCAATATATCGTCAAAAGCATTTAATTTTGTGAGAAAAGAAAAAATACCAGACACACATTAAAATAAAATTTAGGAAACTAGCCTATTGGGTCACTTGTTCAAATAGATTACTTATTGCCTAAAATTTAGGCCCTAAATTGTGACAGAATTTATATTTGAACCTAATCAATAGTGTCAAATAACTAAATGCATTCAGATTTGACATTGATTTTAAGTTAGTATTTCAAAGATATAAATCAAAGCAGTTCAGTAGTTTCTAATATAAGAAACATTAACTACAAGTTAATGTTTCTTATAAAGATTGAGTGAAATACAAACCAACAAACAAGCTCTAATCCTAAACATTACACTATTCAGTACACGATAAAGAGAAAGAGGGAAGAACACATACCACACACACATACGACTCATTCTAATGACACACAGGGTCATTAACCTACAATACCAATTTCAAGCTAATTACAACGCAAACACATGTTAATGATCTGCGTGGCAAGAAAAATACATGCAATGAATGACTACCCCATTGTTTTCCCCGTTCCATATTGAAAGAGAAAACTGGACAAGTCCGAGTGACACGTAGAACAGCGGTTTTGTTTCAATAATGGAGTCGTGTATTGTTTTTGTTTTTGAATATGAATGTGTGGCTTGTTTTTATTTATTTTTGACAGTTGCATCTTGCGTATGATAATGATTTTGGTTTATTTTTAGGTTTTACTGGTTCGCATTATTGTGTAGGTACATACTTAGGTATGTATATTTTGTATTTCTCAGTCAAGTCAATGCAAATGGTTCATGAAAAATAAATATCCGAAACCATATGTTCTCTATTTGATAGTGAAAAGAAATAAATATACCAATGCTTTATAATTATAATGTACTACTTCGTTGGCCGAGTGGTCGCAAGTGCCGGGCAAGGGGTCTCGTGTTCGGGCAAAGTACTACTGGATTTCTTAAAAAAATCTCAGTAGTAGCATTGAGTTTGGAATTTTATTGTGCCCGGTATATGGCCATAGGCTCACCCTTTATTACATGGGACTCATAACATAAATAGTGAAAAGTGGGTGTTACATTGTACAGCAGCATTTAAGGTGCACCTCTGCCTACCCCTTTGGGGATAAAAGGCGTGATGTTATGCTATGTTATGCTTTATAATATTTTAAGAGGCAAAAAGTACATCCATATGTAGTCTGATTAAATAATAAAGTAGCATGAAGAAACTGGTTTGTATTTTAGCTTCCATGTTGTGTATAATATATAACTTTATTAGCACGTTATTAAAGGTCAAAATAATGCTATCTATCGCTCTATTATTTTGTTCATGGCTAGCTTCGTAAAGTTTCGTTGGTCGAGAGGCTTCGTCTAGAGACGGTCAAAGTAAGAATTAGTTAAAATTAAAAAAAAATATATAACACGTACTGGTACCATGTACTGCAAGTCATTAGATAAAAAAGTACCTAGTGTTACACTATGAATACCTTAGAAGATGAAACAATGTGTCAATGCGAATTCATCACTATCACTAGATACTAGATACTATGAAACAAAATCGCTTTTCGCTGTTTATCTCTATCTTTAAAAATACGCAAGGGATTTTGATGCGAGTATTTATGAGATTAGTGTGATCTAAGGGGGAAATTTGCAGGTCGGATAATTAAAAGTTACAGACAGTAGCGTAAGTGTATACTAAGAACACAGCATATAAGCTAAGCATGCAGTGTAAGGTCAAAATCTTACCTCTCCAATACATAAGCAAATAAAACTGCTAAAACTGGTTGTCCTTATCAATCATTCGAGTTCAAAAGTTGTATTCTCTAATATTATCTTCTTTATATATATAATTCTTCTGTGAGTGTGTATGTGACTGAATTTCTCTCAAACGACTGGACCGATTTTGATGAATTTTTTTTGTGTGTGTTCAAGGGGATCTGGGAATGGTTTAAATTCACAAATCAGCCCGGCAGATGGCGCTGCAGTCGATGTTTAGGTTATTTATCCTAAATAAGTAGTTGAACTAATTTGAATGATTTTTTGTTTATATATTCAATTGGATATGCAGGACAACGTCTGTTGGGTCCGCTAGTACTTTAATAAAATCTTTTTATATTAGCCATTAATCTAGAGACCTTTAAAGTATTGAGTCTAAAAGGCCAACAGTCAGTCTGTTAATGGGTCGAATCCAAGCGAGGAAATGAGAACATCAATTGTATGTAAACTAAAATTCTAGAAATAAATGTTGTAGGTATGTTTGTTAACATGTACTATTGTATCTGATTTACTAAGTAGTTTATCTTAGAAGTATAGTTATTAATTACAATGTTTTCGTATGTTACATTAAGTGTGGGAGGGCCATGTTTCGGCACGATTGGGCCGGATCGACCGGAGTTATACAACGGCCTCACAGAATACCGACGTGAAACTATTACGCTTGCTTTGAGTTTCGTCGTGTGAGGTTCTGGATGATTTTTGGTTTTGCTCAAATATTTTTTTGGGTTAAAAAATATTTGTAAAACACCTACCTCAGTAAATACTTTTTTAATACCCCATAAATTCGGATAAATAAATACAATTTTAATCATATAAAAAAACATTCAATAAAACGCTACGAAAGTGCAGTGGGTCAATAATGTCCTTAGTAAGTGTGTTAACGTTTACCGTACCGGATAACGGTTGTCAGCGCTTGTGCATTCATTGACAGTTCATAAGCGAATGCGATTTTCAAAATACACTTTGTTTGGTAAGGCATAAAATCTATTGTCGCTAATTTTAATGTTGCCTTTATAATGGGGCTAAGCATGAAAAGGATTATGTTTTAGCGTCCGCGTAGCATATGAATTTTAGAACATAACTTTTTTGTTTCAGTTTCCCAAAATAACAGTAGCTTATGCCACTCCTTAGTACTTCAGCTACCTGCCAATAAAAGTCTTTCTAAATCCGTCCAGCCGTTTCAGAGATTGGCCAGTATAAACAGGCAATCCAATTTTATTTAAAATTAATCTTATAGTAGGTACTGTTATTATCAAGCAGAAGAGTTTGTATTTTTGTTTGTTTGTTTGAACGCGCTAATCTCCGTAACTACAAGTCTGATTTGAATAATTATTTTTGTGTTGGATAGCGCATTTATCGAGGATGGCTATAGGTTATAAAACATCACGCTACGACCAATAGGAGCTGAGCAGAGCGTGTGAAACTGCACGGAAGTAGCTAGTTATAATATATGAATATA